AGTGATGCAATAGTACCCAGGGTTGTGTTTAATAAACCCTACAAAATGCGAATGAAACAGAACACAGAGTCAGATGCTACAAATGCAATACACATTTATACGGACTGCTCACAAACCAAAGAATGCTCAGGATATGGAGTGTACTCCAGATCACTCTAAGCCTAAGGATTTAGTGGGGAATGGGAAAAAATACCAGCGTGGTTCAAACAGAACTGGCTGGTATCTCAATCGCCACAAGAGAAATAATCAGGAAAGGAATTTCTGGCAAAAAAATAACGATCTACACTGATAGCAGACAAGCCCTATCAGCCTAGAACAGACAACTTGTTACCTCAGGCCTAGTACTAGAATGCCACCAAGATTTAGCCAAAGCCTCGGTAGATAATAACATTATCCTGAGGTGGATTAAAGTCATGACAGGAGTAAAGGTAATCGCATTTCCGACTCTTTAGTCAAGGAAGCGACTGGACTCAGAATTTTAGGACCCAGTGGCACCTACAGCCTGATGACTTCGACAATTGTGGAACTAGCCAAACGTTACATCCATGATCCAGCGGCGGCTCGTCAGAGGAGGCAAGAGAGGCTTAGCCTCCCCATAAAATTTGAGACTATTCATCGCAATAAATTAAAAGATATTGACAAATAATTATGATAATTTTTTTCTAAAAATGCTTGGTTANTCTTTTTTTCTGTATCTGTCATAATTAAATATAATGTAACATGTTGCTAATGACCCTTGCGATCGATGCAACTATTCCTTCAAAAAAAAAAGCTTGAAACATTGTTCCGAACCAGAAAACTGCACACACCTCAGCAACTTTAGATGCTTCGTAAAGCTCAGATCAGATCTTCTTTGGAGTATTGTTCACATGTATGGAGCTCCGCCTCCAAGCATACCCTGAAGCTGCCGGGTTCCATCCAGAAAAGATCCATCCGCCTGATCGGCGACGCAAACATCACTCGCAACCTTGATAGTCTGGATCATCGAAGAAAGGTTGGAGATTTGTCTCTCTTCTTCTTCTATAGACACCTTCACGGAAAGTTTTCAAGTGACTTGGCACATTTGATTCCACCAAGAGCAGTACATATCAGAAATACGCGACGGACTGTGGCTGCTCATCGTTTTGAGGTGCAACTCAGTACACCTGGATTTTCACTATTTAACAAACTCTTTCATCTGGAGAACTGCATTTAAGTGAATTAAACTTCCTGAGCTTGTTTTTTCAAATGGATTTAATCTCCAGCGATTCAAATCCAGTGTGGATCGCCACTTTCGCACAGGCACCGCTTTAGAGCGCCTTAAAAATTTTCTTGTAATGCTAGTGTTTTGTCTTTGAAAAAAAATTAGTTGGTGGAAAAACTGGTATCAACAAGAGCCTAACTTAATGAATGTGACATGCCACTTGTTATTAACTTCACTTCCGTCATAAAATTTTGTTACTTTCAAAAATCGCACGTTGAAATATAAGTCTTCGTTAATCGCCAGGTCGCTCATGTTTCGACTTTTGAGGGGGATCGTGTATATAGGAACTACAACCGATTATTGGAAAACTTATTTTAACCGTGTTCGTTTTTTATTCGAAGAATTGTTTGTTAATAGCAGTTTGCGAGGTTCATGTTTTTCATTCTAACTATTATAATATATACCATAGTATTCTAAACTATTTACTTCAATTTACCGTCTTTTAAGGATTGGTAAATGGCTAAATAATATGTCTGTTCAATATATACGAATACTTGTCTTATGTTATTTTGTAACATTCCTACAGATGCCAAGGCAACCACTTTATATAAACCCATGTTGGGTCATCACCTTATTGTTGCTACAAGTACTAATGGTTAAAACAAGCCGTAGGCCGTAAGCATGTGTGCTCATTGCTTAAATTACATGAGGTCGTCGACAATGGAAACAACAAATCAGACATCGAAAATATGTTTTTATAAGATTTTCGGAATGAATTAGATTTGGCAATGACTTCGAGACTGAGATAATGACATTGAATAATATATAAAGGAATTAACATAGAAATGCTTGAATTGGATTATTCTATCAAATGAATAATTATTTTTTTATACCAAGAGGTTGCTGCCAAAATTTTTGTAAAGATATACAGGATGTAACAATAATGTGTGGGTGCAGGTGCTTCCCTCATTCTCTCTACTGTAGGAAACCATGGCACTAGACAGAATTAGAATCAGATACGTTTTTTGCTCTATTATAAGATAAATATTTTGGTAAACTGATAGATTTATGTTTTTATCACTTTCATTTGTAACTAACGTTACTGCAGTTTCATCCTATAAGGACATTTTTAAACTAATACAATAAATGTTTATTATAAATTATTGTGTTAGTTTGAAAATGTCCGTATAATACAATAAATGTTTATTATTATATTATTGTATCAGTTTGAAAATGTCATTATAGGATAAAACTGCAGTAACGTTAGTTACAAGTGAAAGTGGTAAGAAAACAGAGAGTTATTTCTCATTTTTTTTAAATAATTTGGGAAATAAAGATTTTGGCTTTCCACTTCTCCATTTTATATATAAAAAAATGGAAATCTTCCAAAGAAACGAAGCAAACAATCAATTTCCAAAAATCAACTCCACACAAAAATGTGAAGATCATGGAAAGAAGTAATTTTTAGACCCAAACTGGGAGAAAATCTCTCTCGAAACAGCTACTTTCATATAAACATTGAACTANAAATGTCCATGCAACAGTATTTTTTTACATATTTAAAAATCTATAGCCGCTTCCCCCACCGAAGAAAAGGTATATATTATATAACATTTTTTTCTTCTTAGGATCTAAGCTTTGCAACCTAATATGTCTCAATGACTCTCGGGTAAATTCCCATTTTGCATCGTGGGCTCCCTGCTATTATATTCGAAGCATGGAATAGTCTTCCAGACACGGCTTTCTTTACCCGGGGGTTCAAGCGGTTCAACAAGTGATATTCCGGAGAGGGGCATATAACATGCTCCAGGTTCAGGTACCGGGCATGGTCTCTTCAGAACGGTGTGAACCGTCTGAGGATATCGATCTCGACCAAACTGAACGTCGTCTTCATGTCATTCAGGTTGGAGCCCAGCTCCCTTACCCTTTTGGCTGATTTTTGTCGAAGAAGGACAAATGAGTTCATTACTGAGGGGATGACGGCATGACGTCCTCAGACATCAGTGCCGCCTTTCACGGGGTACCTCTACCTGGCTGGGGTGGGATGGATGAAAAATCTGCTCGTCCTTTAAAGGGGGACATGAGGGCCTCATTCGACAGAGTGTCGGGGTCTTCTATGTCTTCTAGATCGGGAGGGGTCGTCTACAGCATAGTCTATAGCTTCCTTAACTAACACGACCAGACTAATATAATACCAGCTAGTCATGGAATCTCTCTGCAGTTGATTCAGAGTGATGTACACTGCGCCACCTGCAGACAAAGCCAGAAAACAACTCCATAAACACATAATCCACATAATATATTCTTTTTTTCATGTAAACATTTATATATACAACACACTATTTACATATATATGGTACAAACAAATATTGAAAGAAAAGACGTCAAATAAAAACAATAATTTCAGCAGTGGGGGGAAGTTTCCCCCCAGTTTCCCACCCTTTGTGATTGTTACCCTTTGAGCTCCCGAAGTTAGGTATTCCGTAGAGGTGCATATGACATGCTCCAGCTTCAGGTGAAAACATCTTACCCCTTGCCTCTCATGTAGACCTACGACTTTGTGGCAGTGGACATTCCACTGAATCATCTGTAATAAATGTTCATGACTGGCTGGCTTTATATTTGTTTGGTAGTGATACTCAGACGGTTCACGTCGTTCTGAAGAGACCATGCCGGGTGCCGATGATGGGGTAAGTACCCCGAAACCGGTCTATCGGTTGGTCGTATCGACCAAATTAAATTACTTTCTGCTTTTCATAGTGGGAAATAACTTGCGACGAATCTTCCAAATCGAAGACGTTGCACAGGTGCCTGATGGTTTTGCTTCAACTTTCTGCGCGGCATTAGCTGGGTTAGTTGTTATTTTTCCGTCGGGTATCTGCCCACGTACCTACAAAGTCGTAGGTAATTTTTTGTGCAAAAAATTATTTATATTTCAATAAATAGATATTTTTCTTACGAATGAATATTTTTTTCAACAAAAAACTTGCAAATACTATTAATTGTTGTCAAGAATTTTTTTTGTGGTCCTTCAAAACGTTTGAAATTTTGTAAATTGTAATTTATTACTCAAAAAGTTGCCGACCCCTGATTCAGATGAATGTTTCTAGATTTTATTTGGAAATTTCGGTAGAACTATTATTATTATTATAAATTTCAAACAACAATAATATTATAGAAAATACAAATGGGTACAAAAAATTACTTATTGATCTAAATGAGGTTGTCAAACAC